AAATAGCAGCTTTTTGAACACATACCCAAAATGACCCCTAAATATGAATTTAAGCAAAAATCTTTGATGTGTCCTTCGATGACACATTTAGACCAACAATTTCCCAAAGTAGAATGAAAATCGGGAATTTACACTTGGCGGGGTTCCCTTGTAAGACTTCCCAGAAGACTACAGACGCCGTTGAGGAATCCCAAAGGACTTTAGCAATTTAATTCGCGACTACTAACTCGAAAAAATCACCGTGATTTTTTAAACCGTTACAAGCGAACAAGCTAGGCCCGCTCTTTACCTAAACCGAAAACGCCCAGAACTACAAAAATATGCGAGCCCCAATGAGAAGACTTTGCAGGAATGGCGTCCTATATCTATGATTAAAGGTATGATATTACTTCTGTAAAAAGTTCTTGGAAATCGAGATTTGTGACTGCCAATTGCAGTGAGTGTGTAACAAACTTGGAATGTAGTTTGTTTGTTTGTTTGCTTTTTTATCATTTCAAGTGCATTTTGAGCTTGGCACAGAAGCCCAACGAGCTTGCATCAGTTACAGGCTTTTCTGATTGGACATAAAATGTACAGGGTTGAGTGGACGAGGGGTGTGGATGGGTACACCCAAAAAAGCGTGAATAAATGAAATGTGCTCGGCTGAACCGAGAACACTGTCTTGTTCAAATGCAAATTGGATTGATGCAAATGAAGATTGCATTGCCCTGATCAAGGGTCAAGAACATACTTTAATGGGTGGTGTGAAGACCACTGCGATGAAGCGTCGTGCGTTTCTCGATATGCCCCTGCAGAAAGTAAGCCGCGGAGAGTGACGACACCTCCCGGGAAAAAAACACATTTTTTTATTGTATCGATAAAAGTGGTGCGAGGCGGAAGTGGCGCGGCGTCGGCAGAGACCGGATGTAGTGTCAGATGGACATGAGTCGCGACAGGCGGCGCGGCGCGTGCTGGGCGGCCTGCCGCTTGTGCTCGGGCCGCACGAAGTGCAGGATGACGCTGGCCAGCAGCAGCGGCACGCCCAGGAACACCATGGTCCACACGCCGCCCGCGCGCTCCATGATGTAGCCGCCCGCGAACGTCAGGACCACGCCCGACAGCTGCACCGCGCTGCACATGAGCGCCGACGTCGTCCCCTCGGGCTCCGGGAACGTCATCTCGGCGCCGAACTCGAGGCCCACGGGCTGCACGGCCGTCATGGCGAAGCTGCAGAGGGGAGGCGAGAGGCGAGTCAGCCGCGATGAGCGCTCTGCGAGACCCTTAGCCGCAGGCGGCCGCCGGCCGCGCGCCGGGAGCGCCCGGCGGGGTAGGCAACATCCGACCGCTACGCACCGGCGCGCCCGCGCTGCCTACCTCCCAGGCGCCCACAGTCCCCCGGAGCGCCTGGCGGGGTAGGCAACATCCGACTGCTACGCGCCGGAGCGCCCGCGCTGCCTACCTCCCAGGCGCCCACACTCACCCGTAGACCACGGCGGTGGCCTGGACCCAAGTCATCTCCCCGTACGGCAGCAGGAAGGTGAAAGCGCCCCATCCAAGCAGCG